AACAACAACAACACATCAACCAAAGTGATCTTGTTAAAGTGTGGATTTTAAGTCACTGCCCTGTGACAACATTTAGTGGCTTCTCAGAGCTTCTTTTAGATCTCTCCAGCCATAACCCATTCTCTGTGGTGCTCTTGCCACCCACTCCATTTTCACCCCAACATACCACATTGCCCCTATCTCAGAGCCTTTGCCTCATCTCTCTTCCACAGGCCTACTGTGCTCTTTGTTTAGCTAACTCCTCCTTCAGGTGCCAGTTCCATGTGGATTTCTCAGGGAATCGTTCCTGGATCACTTTGGAAGCCTTCTGTTATTTTACTCTCTTTTAGCACCTTGTTTATTGTAGAACACATCCAAATTTTAATTAATTATTTCAGTGGCAATATGCTTAATTCCTGTAAGCTGGCCTGTAGGCTCTAAAGAATAAGGACATTGATCATCTTCTTCATGATCATATCTCAAACCTCTAGCTTGGGACATAGATCACTGCCATCGAGTTGGATACGACTTACAGTGACCCCTCCTTGGGTTTCTGAGGCGGTATCACTACAGAAGTAGATTGCCTAACTTTCCTTCCAAGGAGTGGTTGGTGGCTTGAACCACCAGCCTTCTGGTTAGCAGTCAAATGTCTTAGGTACTATGTCACCAGAGCTTCCTGGGACATAGAAAGCACTTGTTAAATACTTGTTGAACGAATGAATGAATGTAACTATGTATATATGTCCTGATCACTCTGCTATTTTAAAAGGTTCCTGGGTGGTGCTTGGCTACTAAGTGAAAGATGGGTGATTTGAGTCCATCCAGAAGCACCTCGGAATGATCAGCTTCCAAAATGTCAGACATTGAAAACTCTATGGAGCACAGTTCTCTTACACATATGGGGTTGCCATGTGTTGGAATCAACTTGATGGCAACAGGAAAAAGTCTATAACAATATGAAATGATGTGTAAATTTTCATTTAATGGGTAGGGAATGCAAGCTCCCAGGTTTAATGACTGAATCAAAGGTAAAAAAGCACACTATATTCTCTATTTTCTATTAGCTGCTTAGGAAACAAGATCTTTGTTCAGGTCCTCTGAACACACTTATTAAAAACTTTATTGTTTTTCTTGACTTGTCTAAGGAGTCTCACCAATAAATTCCATGATGGCCATCTTGTATCAATTCACAAAAACATCTCAGCTTTCAACTGGACAATAAAGTTCAAAAACAATAGAATTAAGACCATTCCTCCTGCCTAAAAAATCCCAAATATCTGTCCACAAATTGTCTGTACCTCTGAATGACTTTAAGGACCATGTCTTTTTGTTTAAAGAGTAACAATAAACAGATTGTTTTTCTAAAGTCACTGCTTATTGTCAGTAATCAGAAGATAAACTTGGATGAAGACAAGGTGGTTTCCCCCCTGAAATTTGCTTTTCAGAGGGAAAAACAATTCAGAAAATCTTTCTCTATATGTAAAAGTCTAACAATCAAGAAAAATTTCACCTCAGGAGGCAGTGAATTTATGTTAATGAGGGAGGAACAATTCAGAAAAGGAGGGTGAGAATGGGGGCACAACTTGAAGAACGCAATCAATGCCACTGAGTTGTATGTGCAGAAACTGTTAATTGGTGTATGTTTTGCTATATATTCTCTATAGCAGTAACAACAAAGTAAATACTTTTTTTAAAGAACTAAAAAAAAAGAAAAAGAAAAGTCTCATTTCTGAAGCTGAAATAACATATTCTTCTGCACCTAGACCTCAAAGGCTAGCCAGAAAATGAAAAGATAGGGGCTCTTCACTGTACAAGCATTCCTTGGCGATACTGCAGATTCAGTTCCAGACCACCGCAATAAAGCGAATATCTCAATAAAATGAGTCACATGAATTTTTTGGCTTCCTAATGCACAGAAAAATTATGTTTACACTATACTATAGTCTATTAAGTGTGCAATAGCATTATGAAAATGTTTGAAATATCATGAGAGCTACCAAAATTTGACACAAAGACACAGAGTAGGCACATAGTGTTGGATAAATGGCACCTGATTGTTAAATATTTTGAGTGTTACAATTCATAAAAATTATGAGTATTTTATACATAGAACCAGTTACCATTTAAATTGAGTATCAGAGTTTCAGGTAAATAACATCTTCAAATAAATTGGAAAGAGAAGGAAGAGTATACCCATTTCACCAACACAACTTTACTCTCAGAGACGTACAAAGATGTGAGTAGGCATCCTCTTGCCTTGGAATCCTTGTGTTTCACTTTCTATCAGAGCCCTAAGAAGTTTCCAAACCAGAAGTTTCCTTTCTCTCTGACCCAGGAAGGAAAGCTTCTACTCACCTGGATGTGTAGAACAAATTCTACAGAATTTGTGCCATCCGTGACCTCCAAGAGTACGTCATCCTGAAAAATCTCAGACCCATCATGCTGGTACCTATGGGGATAATAGTTGTCACTTAAACCTCCAGCCCACTGTGGGAGTCCTTTGAGATGAGCAATAAAAGGGCTCATCCCTGGACTTGGCCTTGAGAGGCTATGTTTGTGTGTTCAAAAACAAACAAAACAAAACAAAAACCAATATAATCATGAAGGTACATATTTAACTACTGAAGAGTCTCTGAATATAAGATTTCTCGCCACAGAAAAATGGGTTTTATATATTTATAATTTGTCCCCAAATCAAAAAGTAGTCTTTCAAGTTGCCACTGTGATCATTGGAATCATTTGGCACAGCTCTGCCTCCTGGTAAAATACACTGGCTGGGACCAGGAGACCCCGAGAATGAGTAGTAAAAGGGGACAGTGAGACCTTGGGTGGCTTTTGATTATTTCTGCCTCCTTTCCCCTTTTCAAGGCTAGTCCTTCTACCTGCGCTTGGTCCCCCTTCAGTTATTCCCCCAAAACTTGCTCTGTGAATTACTGCCTCTCTCCTACCTTTTCCCCTTTTTCATTTACAAGCTCTCTTCCTCTAAATCTATAAACATCTTTGAATCTTGTTCAGTCTTAAAAATACTTTGTCTTGGTCTAGGCTTGGCACTACCTCCCTTTAATTTTCAGCTATGTTTCTTAAAAGAATTGTCTCATTTTATGCTTTCTATTTTCAGCCCACTACAGGGTACCTGGTAAATTCTAAATATCTGTTAAATTAAATTGTGCCAAAGTTTTTAGTATGCCAATGATCTGCTTAAGATACAGGAATGAAAATAACTCCCAAGGATTGGGGGGTAAAAAAAAGCATAGTATATTGAACATACAAAATATTTACATATGGAAAAAATAATCCCAAGGCCAAAGGGTATTTATTCACAACTATTCTCACTCATAGGATGAGTGGGATTCAGGTTTGGGATTCCATTCCAATGGTAAGAAAGGCCTATACCCCATATCCCTCCCACAAACTGTCTCCTAAGCTTTATTTTGGTATCCTCTCAATTGTTTTAATTACTAATCCATTGACATGTATATAACATACTAATCTCAGTTTCCATGCCAATGCACCTAAAAGGGCTAGTGGGTCTAAAGATATTTTGGTCCAAGGATGTAAATGTGGAGCCAAGCAGGTAATTTTTTCAAAACTTTACTTCCTCTATACACTAATAGTGATCTTGGGAATATTTCTCAGTGTCTTTGAACCTTTGTTTCTTCAACCGTAGTATTAGACTACAACCATCTACTATGTTGGGCTTGATTTCTGGGAAGCTTAAACGTAAAAACATAACTGCAAGCCCCAGCACAGTGCTTGAATTATATATGTATTGGCAAATGTTGGTACTTTTCCTCCTACCCATCATTCACTCCCTAGAAAGAATTATCTAAACAGAACCCTCTTTCTAACATGTAGTTGAGAGCTGCATTTTTTAAAAAATCCCACAGCACTAAGTTTAACAGGCAGAGGAGCCTCAGTTTATTTCCCACAAATCCACAACACCAAGAAGAGTCTTTCAATAGAAGGTGACATCTCCAACTTTCCCCTGGACTGGTACACAATGAAAGGATCATAAACTCACTCTACCTAGGGGCATGGGTTGGTCTGGCTGGGACTGAAAATCAACAATGTTAACTAAACTGTGGAAATTCAACTGCTCTTCCTTTGCACATATCCTAGTTCCTAGTCAAGTGTGGAACTAAGCATTGGATGCCTAATGCCTCTTATTATAGTTTATCAGAAGAGCCAAAATTTCCATTTATAACTTGAACTTACAAAGTGGGAAATTAGCCAGTATGTCTGTTTGCTTGACCACTGCTTTTGCATTATTTCCCAGAGAAGTTATTTTACTAGATTTTGGAGAAAAGTATCTTACAGAATTGCATTAAGTAGAAGAAACAAGAGATGAGGGGAATTGCTGTGGTATCATAAGGCAGGGATTGCTCCGTTCCTGATGGACAGAGATTCGAGAATTACTCCATGCCCCACCTATACAGCTCACTCTACTTATCCACCTGCAAATCCCAATCACACAAAACAGAATAAAAGAATTGTACCAAAATACACTAAAGACACATTGGTCAACAGAGTTCTATCCCAGAGTTTGTAGAGTTACGAAATTAGCTTTACTGAGAGTCAAGTGTAATTGTGTTGATTAGTCTCAGAGTATAGTTCAGTCTGTATTCATCTAGCATGACCATCAACTTCTGTGATATGTGCAGTTTCGGCAAGTTTAATATTTACGATGGTCATTCATTACTTTTTGCTGTTCCAACATCCATGAAGTCTTTCCCACTAGTATGGCAAGCCAGAGGGGAAAAAAATACCTGGAGGTCAATGAAAAATGTGTAATTTCTTACCTTAAGCTGACCTTTTGAAAGTATTAAATGGCATCTTGGTACCCCTGCAAGAATTGGACATATTTTCTCTTATTCTGCCTCACACTGGATGCAGATGGGGAGCCAAGGCACATGAAGGAAAAAGCAATTGAAAGTTCTAACCTAATTTTTAAGGCATGGAGGTCTCCCCAAGAAAATGTGCTCCCTGTGTATAGAGGAAATCCATTAAGTTCCACCCTTCCATGGAGAGGTGGTCTCTGGAGGAAGAGATAGATATTGTCCAGCTTGGTATCCACATCAGAAACCAGAATGTGTTCCGTGCTCATGACACATTGACCTCCCTCAGCCACTCTCAGAGGGTTAGTAAATACCTAGGAAAAAAAAAAAAAAAAAGGAAACGTTCAGCCTGTTCCAAGAGGTATCCCTGAAGACCCGTTCCAATCTCCATTGCCTCTGATTCCAACTCATGGCAACCCCATTGGAGTAGAACCATGCTGCAAAGTGTTTCCAATGGCTGATTTTCAGACACAGATCATCAGATATCTTCTGTGGCACCTCTGGTAGACTTGAACCTTTAATCTTTCAGTTAGCAGCCAAGTACACTAACCATTTGTAGCACCAAGGATTCTATCTCTGAATATAGAGCTAAGTAAATCAATATACAATTTCCAGTACAATCTTTATTTTGTCAAGAATGTGGTATGGGGACAAATTTATAGCTAGACATTTGGCAAAAAAAAAAAAAAAAGTTTTTACTAAATGTTTTCAACTTCTAAATATTGATAAATAAAAAGAACCAAGACAGAGCTCTGAACCAGAAAATATCCACATTTCATTTATCTCAGGTCCTGTGGTTACTATTTGTAATGCTAAATGAGAAAAGAACTTTCACCTTCATGTACACACTGACCACTGCTTGGCACACGTATACTTTAATCTACAAAATAAACAAAACTATGTTAAATTCCCCTAGGGAATTTGGATCCTGCTCTTTTTTCACCATAAAAATTCTTAAATGATAGAGATATTGAATGGAGACTTGTAAGCTTCAGTTGTAGTATTTTGTTTTAGATTGAAGATTCCATACGAAATGGACTTATTCAAACATTGGAATCAAATGTCAGTGACATTAAGATAATTTTCTCTAAGAAAAATCAAATGCTCAACTAACTAATGATTCATTTATAAGTGAAAAGCAAGCTAGAATGGCTTGGGGTATTTTATCACCATGCTGATAGCTGGTAAGACATCTTCCATCATCAAATAAGTTTAGAAAATGGTTACATATAATATTTTCACCTTGAAGATTTATAAGGCACATAAGCATATTCAAGACCCTGAAATCCTGCCGCAGGAAAACCTGTTAACTTTTTTAGCCCCAAAGTCCCCCAAATTGACATACGGATGGAAGTGAGCAGATATAGCAAATCCTGGGCTGTGAGGCATCTCCAGATGGTCCAGGAGGAGTGTCCTCCTGCTGCGGGCGCACAGCCTTCTCCAAAGAAGTAGCTCCCTCTTCCAAGCAGCTGGTGCTCCAGAAAGGAGAAAGCACCCAGAGGAAAGACTTGAGGAAGAGGAAGATGGAGGAACGGGTAAGGGAAAGGGAAGTGGGCAGGTGAAGCAGTGGCAGATCCTTGCCCTGTTCTGTCCACTGGGCACACTGTGAAGTGGAACTCAATTCCACAGCTGTCAGAACACCTATCTATTTGCCAAGGGCATTCTCCTGGATCACATCTCCAGGACCTATAACCCTGAGATAGTTGCCTCTCCTCTTTAATAAACTACTTACACCAGCAAAGGTAAACCCAAAGACAGTGGCCTTCTCATCCTATAGCCACCCCTATCCATCCTTTACAAGCATCTCATTCTCATTTTACCAAACCTACATTTTCACTGCATGTAAGAGTGAGAAAGATAAAGAGCTCTTATTTAGCGAGAGTTATGGGTAGTGCGAACAGTTTACATATTCAACTGCTAACCAGAAGGTTGGAGGTTTGAGTCCAGCCAGAGGTGCCTTGGAAGAAAGGCCTAGCAACCTACTTCCAAAAACTCAGCCATTGAAAACCCTATGCAGCATAGTTCTACTTTGACACATAGGGTCACTATGAATCAGAATTGACCTGACAGCAACTGATTTTATTATCTAGCCTCATTTTCCCCTGAATTGCATCAATTAATATCCTGAGATGTTGATGTTCCAAGGAATATACTTTGCTATTTAAAATGATTAAAAATAATATTTAGGGAAACTTTCAAAAGAATAAAAGCTTGCTTCCACTCATTAACCCTTAGCTTCTCAGACCCTGCCTGCACCCAGTGCTCAGGTTTCAGGGACTTCAGTGATCTTAGTATCAAAACCTTCTTCAGGTACCACTCAACCAGCTGGCTGTCAGTAGAAACTCCATATCAGAAAATGGCTTTTGGGACTGGCTTCACTGATGCTACAGATTTAGTTTTATTTTCTAATACCCTCAGTTCTCTAAAATACTATTTCTCTTGTTCATATTCTCTTAAAAAAAAAAAAAAGGCAGAAGTCGCTGATGCCACATCCTCATAACTATTTGATGTGTCTTTAAAGGAAGGCCACTTTTCATGTCACTCTTTTTAAGTTTCTTCACAAATTATCCTTCTCTTGTCAGAGGCTTGAATTTTTTTGCATGAAAGAACATTTCTCCATTATTTTTCTGGCAAAAGCTTTAGTGTCTTTGGATACTGGGCTATTTCAGAGCCTGTATTTCATGCACAGAAAAGGATGGTCTGAATAAAATCTAATAAAGTAAACTCAACAAAGGATTCTAAACCATTTTCACCACAAATATGATCTGCCCTGAGAAGAGGAAAATATGAAAGAATAGAATGAGTTTAGATTCTTCTGTGTGAGCTATTTGGCTCTTCTTCTGATAGACTGCAAGCAACTCAAGGACTTAAGGTTCAGGGCAGTGATGTAGATGAGTGTAGTGAGCTAGGTGGGACTGTGGTGAGCTGGGGAACAAAAACACTGTCCAACTCCTGCCATTGAGTTTGTGAACTCAGCATGTCAGAGCTTCCACATTTTCAAGAGAAGCCAGAAATCTTCCAATGTGTAAGAGTTTGTTGTTACTTATTTTAAGACATTGCTTAAGCCCATCAGAACACTTGTGTGGGTGAGTAAGTGCCCTGGGCCCTCAGCACGAAGCTTCTGCCCCACAACCCTATACAGATGTAGAGATGATGAGGACTGACCAAGAAAGAGAACACCTGTGCTTTCCTGGTCATATTCCAGACAGATACTCGGGATGGTGATCTCTTGCCCTAGGGAGGAGGCATGTATAGGTTCTGGTCCCCTCTGGCTTGTAAGGAACCGGCCATGATATTTTTGTCTTTCTGTTTTTAAAAGAAAAAAAAATGAGTGCAGCCCTAGTCACACTAATTAAGTCTAGCACTCTGATGAAGGGCGGGTAGGCAGGCAATGAAACAAACTCTCAGTATAAATCTCAACCTCCTAGATGAGATGCAAAAGATAGCACTGTCTTTTTAGTTCTGTTTTAATGAGAGACCCAAGTTCTTCAAGGCTTACATAAACATTGGGCAGTGGGATAGGACAGGATGGAAGTTTCCATCTTAGTTCACTTTGGAAATTTAAGAGCTTTTTTGGATTACAGAGCAGCATAGCTGGCCTGTGGTAAAAACAAATAAGACCTTCTGGTTGCTAAGAGACTCATAATTTAATCCATTTCTTCTAATCAACACATGAAACTCAATAGAAAGGAAATGAAATTAAAGAGATTTTGAGAAAGCTTTGAAAATAATGCCAAATTTAGCAACTAAGACATTTCACCTTTTAGATAGATAGCCCCTTGAGAGGTGAAAGAGTCCCTGCTTTTTATACAACACTATAGCTGGAATATAAAAGAAGTTCTTTAAAATAGCCTAAGTAAAAGTACTTTCCAGAAACTCTTAAAGTTTCTTTTTTAAGTCCTCTTTTCTTTTCTTCCTCCATATCAAACAGTGTACATACCTCAGGAATCTGATTGTCCACTGGGAGAATGGTGATGTTAAAGCAGATCCCATGCAAAGTGCCACCATGTTGGTTACTGACAGAAAATGTGAACTGGACATGTCGGAGATGAGGGCCTATGTCTTGCATGGGTGGCATGTAGGCCACTTTCATATAGTTCACAGCATGCTGCAAAGCAAAGCAAGGTGGATATGTGAGTATAAGAATCGTGAACTTTCAGACAATCAGGTCCCAGAGAACTGTCACGTTAATTGATATCGAACACCATCATCAATTTGAAGAGTTCAGTGAGTTCTATTTTATAAATTGCATTTTCTATAAATCAGTAGAGAAAAGGAAATTTAAAAACTTAGGTAAATTTCCATGGATCCAAGTGCTTAAAGCCACCCAATTCTATGAAAGATAGCAGATTAGCTGTGTGATATTGGTCAAGCTGCTTAACTTTGATAGCCCTTTGTTTCCTTATCTGTATAATGAATAAAATAATAAACTGATAGTAGATACCACATAGGGTTGACATACACATTTACAACCTATAACTACAATGAAGTTACTACCAAACTACAGGGTTAGACCCCTGTGGGGTCTATAGGAGTAGGAAGAGGGCTGGTGAAGGATTTTGGATGGTAGTAGGAGATTGAGTGAACTGAATTTGGCAGAATAAAAACTTATTCACCAAGTCCCCAAATCAGAATCCCACTGCTTGTAAAACAATGCAAAATCCTGTGGTGAATTATGACAAGATTTTGAAATCATATCCATCTTGATCAAACATTTTCACATAGATGTTGCCTGTTTAGTGGAAATGAACAGGCAGCATTTGTGACATACATCAAAGGCCAACCTTCTTGATCACAACACTAGCAGGGCTATATCTTTTCAAATGACACCTAATCACATTTGTCAATATTTAGCATATTATCATACCTGAGTGAATGACCTCAGCCTCAGGGCAGTAGGATTTTTGGTTAGCTTTGGTATGCTGTCCACCAGGAATAACTTCCCAGCATCTAAATGTCTGAACAGAAATATTTATTCAAATTAGCAAGTTTTCCAGGTAAGAAAAATTAAATCAAATAGTCAACCACCAAGTTTCCAATACATAAAGGACCTCACCATGAGAAGAAATCACATGTTCCATCTTTATAATACCCCTTTATTTTGGGGAAGGGGAAGTCCAATATCATCAATGCCCTTCCCATCATGAATGCAATAAGCATGCACAGAATTTTCTGCCTTCACATCATGAATGGGAATCATTATTCTCATCCTAAAAATGATTCTTTGCAATCATGTATATGACATTAGCCTAAGGTATATTCATGCAACTTTTCTTGGTTGGGATCATAGAATCTGACCATTTCATGGCCTACGATAAGTAAAAATAATCTTATGAGAACCACAGTCAATTTTGCTGAAAAGGAAAAAGAATATTCTCTTTAGAAAAGGGAAATAAAGGGTTATTTTAAGTCTACCTAAATTAAAGATTCCACAAACTGCTGGTCACTTACCAATTAGTACAGCTTTTGAAAGGAAGTGCATGATGTGTTTGAGATACAAGTAAATGCTAAATTGTGGGTATACATTCATGTCTGACTAAGTAAAGTAACTCAACTACAATACTATATACCAACATTTTCAATTCTCCAACCCTAAGCACAACCCACAACTAATAACCCAAGTGATGACTTCTTATGCAGATACCTGTGGCTAAAAGAAAAAAATGGAGGAGTCGTTATTGTGTAGAGCACCTCCCTGTCATATGATTCCATATCTATAAAATGTAGTTGTTTCTTAGTTATGTAGGCCACATCAGTTTCCTTGACAACCAAATGCCGAGAAACTCCAGGAGCTTCTTTTGGAAGTTGGTCATTCACTGGCATAATATGGATTGTCACCACCTGGAATGAAAATACTTGCACATTAATTTGAAACACCAAAGTTAAGGTAATTTTCATAAACTATAATGTATAACACAGGAAGTCCCCAGGTTATGAATGTCCAACTTACAGAATACTCCTTCTTTCCCTTTAATATTATGTAAATTGCCCTCACTTTGAAACAACATCCCTCAATCAAAACAAATTTTTCATCACAATCACCTTCATTTGCTGCCCATGCAGCTTTTAAATCATTGGAAAGCCTTCTAGCCTTTTCATGCACTAACCAAAGCCAAACCTACTGCCATAGAGCCAATTACTACTCATAGCAACCATATGGGACTGAGTAGGAGTTCTGGTGGTGTAGTGCCTAAGGCATTTAACTGCTAACCAGAAGGCTGGCGGTTCAATCTCACCAGCCACTCTTCAGAAGGAAGGCTGGGCAATCTACTTCCATAGTGATACTGTCTTGGAAACCCAAGGAGGAGTCACTGTGAGTTGGACCCAACTCGACGGCAGTGGGTAGTGTGTTAGAACTGCCCCTTTGGGTTCCCAAGGTTGTAAATCATATGGAAGCAGACTGCTACCTCTTCCTCCCATAGAGTGGCTTGTGGGTTCAAACTGATGACCTTTCAGTTAGCAGCTGAGCACTCTAACTGCTGCACCACCAGAGCTCTTTTTTTGGGGGGGGGGTACTAAAATAAGGCTAAATAAGAACTGTATGCATCTGGTCCAATTTACCTACAAATTCTTCAAGACACAGTTAAGAATAGATCTTGTTCATAACCTGAGGACTGCCTATATACTTCTGTTGAAATGATTCAGAAGTTATTAAGAGTATAAGCCAAAAATGGAATATATTCCATGCATTTTATATTATATTTTAAGAATATAGTTATTACAATTATAGGTTACCTAGTGATGAGCACTATAGAATGGGTGGCTAATACACAAAATATGTTTCTGATTTATTTCTGCATCTTCCTACTATCAACAACCTATGCATTCTTGGGTACGCCCTCCATTCAGTCACTGATTCTAGAATGAAAAGGGACATAACTTTTGGTTCCTCCTTATCTACCCATAGGAGCTCTGGTAACATAGTGCCTAAGGCACTTGACTGCTAACCAGAAGGCTGGCATTTCAAACCCACCAGCCACTCCTCGGAAGGAAGATGGGGCAATCTACTTCCGTAGTGATACTGCCTCGGAAACCCAAGGAGGGGTCGCTGTGAGTCGGGTCCTACTCGACGGCACATAACAACAACAACAACAACAACAAATATCTACCCATATATATCATGTCACCAAGGCTCAGAGTTTCCACTTTAAATATTTCCCTTACTGTAACCATATACCACCTTTCACCCCAAGGTGTCATTCCCACTATTAGTAGCCTAACTCAAGCTTTCATAATTTCTTCCTCAGATTATTACATCTTTCTAACTATTAGCCCTAATCTAAGAGCTAATCTAGAATTTTCACACCTCTAGGCAATCTACTTCCATAGTGATACTGCCTCAGAAACCCAAGGAGGGGTCGCTATAAGTCGAGTCCAACCCGATGGCACATAACAACAAACAACAACATGTGTTATCTTATTATTATTATTATTGTGCTTTGGGTGCAAATTTACAAAGCAAAATTTGTTTTACATTTAACAGTTCATGTACATTTGATTTCATGCCCTGATTACCATCCCTGACCATAACGTACTCTTCTCACCTCCCATTCCTGTGACCACCCCCTCCCTGGGCCCTTCTTATCTATGTACTCCTGTTTGTCCAGCTATTCTTCCATATGAGTGCTGCCCCCCTGGTGCCCCATGGCCAATTGCTCTAAGCAGCGTATCTCCCTAGAGCAGGTGGGTGCATCTCCCGGGTGGGTGTTCTGCATGTAAGTCTTTCTACTGTTGGGCTGAGAGCCAATCCTTGGGAGTGAGTCCAATCCTAGGCCTGAAGGGTATCCCAGAGCCATAGTCTTAGGGGTTCCACCAGACTCTATCCAACCAGTAATACTGGTCATTTTTGTGTTTTTGAATTTTGTTCCAAATTTTTCCTCCCTCTCTATCCAAGATCTCCAGTTTTGATCCCTTCCCGAGTGGTTGGCATTGGTAGCCAGGTACCATCTAGTTCTTCTGGTCTTGAGGTCCATCATATCACTGGACTAATTGCTTCCAAATGGCTTTCATTTTCTTCACTCTTTGATTTTTCTCTTACTCTTTGCTTCAGATGAGAGGAGACCAATAGTTGCATGGCCACTCGAAAGCTTTTAAGACCCCAGTCGCTATTCACCAAAGCAGGTTGTAGAACAAGATTTTTATTGAGCTTGGTGTCCTGAGTCAGCAGGCCCAGGGATTCTCTCTCTCAAGGTGTTTGGCTATCTCTGAGAGGTTACTCCAACTCTGACTTGTGTTCCTTCTATAATGAGTGTGGTGGCTAATTTAGTATCACTAGTATCTATGTAAGATTATCTTCAGCTAAATCTATCCTTGGTCTAGGGTACATTCCTGTTCACTGACCCCCACCTGATCTTCTCACTTGTCTATGCATTTATCTGTAACCTGGTGTTTGGTGTTAGTGGTGATGTGGTATTGTGCATATACTATTATTTGCCTCTGTTGTCTATATCTTATGTGCATGTTTCAGTGTCTTTCCTTTCCCCAGCATCATCATGCTGGTCACAGACTCTTTCCATACTGTCCCTCCCCTTACTCAACTCAGAGTGTGACCCTCAACTAGTCTGAAATTTTCCCTCTCTTTCCCTCCCATCTTGGGTAACCTACAAAGTGAGTATCCTTCCCTAAGTAAACCCTTTCCTGACCTTTTACAATAATGGGCTCATACAATATTTGTCCTTCTGCAACTACCTTGTTTGACTCAGCATAATAGCCTCCAAATTTATCCACATTGTGAGATGATTCACATATTCTTCATTATTCTTTAATGTAGCATAGTATTCCATTGTGTGAATGTACCATAGTTTGGTTATTCAATCATCTGTTGATGGGCATTTAGGATGTTTCCATCTCTTTGCTATAGTCAATTGTGCTGTGATGAATGTGCGTGTGCATAAGACTGTTTGTGTCCTGTCTCTCACCTCTTTAGGATTTATTCCTAGTAATGGAATTTCTGGATCAAATGGTATTTCTATTATCAGTTTTTTAAGGAAACACCATACCATTTTCCACAGTAGTTGTACCATTTTGCAGTCCCACCAGCAGTGTATGAGAGCTCCAATCTCTCCACAACTTTGCCAGAATTTGTTGTTTTCTGTCTTGTTGAACTTTGCTATTATTGCTGGGATGAGATGGTATCTCATTGTTGTTTTGATTTGCATCTCTCTAATGGATAATGATCGTGAGCATTTCCTCATGTGTTTGTTGAGTGCCAGTATATCATTTTTAGTGAAATGTCTGTTCATGTCCCTTGCCCATGTTTGAATTGCATTGTTTGTCTTTTTGGTGTCAAGGTGTTGAAGTTTTTTTTTTTATATATAAATTTTGGCAATAAGTCCTTTGTCAGATGTGTCAGAGCCAAATATTTTTTTCCCATTCTGTAGGTTCTCTTTTTACCTTTTGGAGAAGTCTTTCAATGTGTATAGGAATTTAATTTTTAAAAGATCCCAGTCATCTAGTCTCTCTTCCACTACCTGTACATTTTGGATTATGCTTCATAGTATATTTATGTCATAAATCAAGGCCTCTAGATTTGCCCCTATTTTATCTTTGATGAGCTATATAGTTTTGGGTTTTACATTTAAGTCTTTGATCCAACTTGAGTTTGTTTTTGTGTATGAGGTGAGGTATGGGTCTTGTTTCATTTTTCTGTAAGTGGATATCCAATTTGTGAGCACCATTTGTTATACAGGCTCTCTCTCCCTGCAGTATAGTAAATTACTTTGTGTGACTTTTCTACCCATAAGTCTTTGTAAACTCCAAGGTGGGATTCACTATGAGCAACTGAGGAGCTCCTGATTGCTGAAGGTGTCCACCTGGAGTATTTCTGTTGTGAGTGGCACAAAACAATGTTCTGGGAGGTGCCCACTCTCTCTCAGGTGCTTAGAGTTCTGATGCTATAATTGGCTAGTTTGACCACCCTGCGGGCTCTAAAG